ACACACACACACACACACACACACACACACACACACACACACACACAGATATACAGACAGACTAGACACCAGAGCTATTGCAGTGCTATTTGCATTCGTCTCCGTGATGAAAGCCTAATTCTCCCAGTTAAAACATTAGCAGTCATTTACAGTGGGTCACAGCACATGTGCCGCTCATCTCCCCTCCCTCTGGCAGAGAGAAAGGGGGGAGGGGGGCAACTGGAGGCAGAATTTTGTAAAGAAGGAAAAGAAAAAAGTCACAAGACCAAATTTATTTCAGGTGCTACTAAAAGCGTGGATGTCTTCCTATTGTAAATGTTTGAGCATCGTGATCAGTCCGGTTGTGTGTCTGCTGCTGCCTGATGCATGCTGGGATAGGCTATAAACACTGTGTTGTATATCTATATATATACGTGAGCAGGCAAGATGATAAATCAAATCATGAATAAATAAGCAAATTCATTTGTGATGACTCTATGCTACCAGATAAGTGTAGAATGGTGGTGGATGAAGTAAATATTACTGTACAAAATACTACGTACTAAGTAGTCCCTCATCTGGATTTTTATTTCAAAGTATGTATGTATTATTATCAAATGTACTTAAAGTATATAAAGTAAAAGTATTCACAATGCAGAAAAATGCTCTATAATATATTATATCATTGGAGAATTATTACTATACAATTAGTGTTGTAGTTGGTCAAGTCGAGCTAATCTTAACAATTTAATATGCTGTTGGGCAGTTTAATCTATAATAATTTATCACATTTAATAAAATCAGCGAAGAACTTAACGTAAAATAAAGCTGTAAAATAACTGCAGTGGAAAGTATAATATTTAGAGTCGAAATTGAGTAAATTAGTTACATTCCACAACTGGAAGTCCAAATGAAGCATCTGATACGGAGTCTTGATTGCATTTTCTATTCTTATTCTATCTGATTCTATTCCAATGTCTTTATATGTAGGGTCAGTAAACCCCAAAGTAGATATTTATACTAAATGCATCTGGAAAAAGAACTGAAAACAAATGGGACACTGCTATTATGGTAAGTTAAACAGAAAATGAAACCTCTTCTTTAAGTCCTACAAGTCATCATGCAGCACCTCGAAATAACTCGGCACTCATTTCTCCCCCTCTCTCAATCAGCCCTTACTTTTTCTCTCTCTCTCTCTCTCTCTCTCTTGACTCATCCTCATTCACTGTCCCTTTCGTTTCTATGATCAATGACTTCCACTCCTTGACACCGCTGCTCTCCTCATGAAATATAACGGCTTATTAAAGGACATACATCTCTACGGCCCTATTTGACTCACGGAGCTGCTATATAAATACATAAGGCCATGCCGAGCTATATTTAAAGGTCTGCGAGGCCAACGGCAGAAGAAGCAGACACCAGACATTAATAGTTAAAATTCATAAAAGTCAGATGAGGAGGTAAAGATATTCCCATCTCTTAACCCTCTCCGCACCCCTCCCTCCATCATCACCCCATCCCTCCCTCCTTGGTTTAGGGCTATTAGAGAACAGACGGGGTCCCTCCTCACCCCTCCTCCCGCTGCCTCTCTCACTCCTCCTTTGCTCATTCTCTCACTTTCCCTCTCTGGAGGAACTGACACTCAAATTAGCGTGAGGTTTCTGTAGAAATGGGTCAGCACCTACAATGGTGGGATCAGGCCAGGTGTGTGTGTGTGTGTGTGAGGGAGAGAGATGAGGAGGGAGAGGGAGAGAATTGAATGTTTGTGATCATGGGCAGCGTGTGTGTGTCAGCTTTTCATGTGCATCTCTGTAATGAGACAGTATAACAGCTAGATGTGGCTCTGCCGGGCTAAGTGGGGCCGACTCTCCATGTGCGAAGAGGAGGAGGCGAGAGAATTGTTCAGGGCTGAGAGTGAGGAAGAAGGAGAGAATGAGAGCAGTGGGGAAGTGTCTCATAAAGGACAAAAAGAGCCAATAACTGTCAAATCAGTCATATCTTTAGGAGCTGAGCAAAGTCAACGTTAAAACCTGTGTATGTGTTATTGTACTTGTATCATTTCAAGTTTAAGTGCTAAATTTAGAGTTTTCTGCAAAAATTTGGCCAATCCAAAGGTTTCAAATAACACTAAATCCTGCCTGCAAATTTAGTTTCTGTCATTGTGGTCTCAGTCGGCATCTGCTCTGGGTTGGGGGCTTCATCAGTGGGCACAGACCACAGTAACTTTGCAGTCAATTAGATCAGATTTTACCCAGTCAGAGTTGTTTACCATATTTGAGTTTGAGTCAAAACATTTTTGCTTTGATTGAATCAGCTTTCAACCAGTCTGAGCTGCGGTTGAAACGTTCACTTTTTTAAATTCAGGGCTGTTGGTTTTCGCCATCATCTAAACAGTTTGCTAATTGGTCTGTTCTCCTTACTAAACTGACGGAAGGATGAAGCACAAGGGAGGGTGTATTACATCATAAGCTTTTACCTTCCATGTGGCTGTGTTCCTCCTGAAATAGGCAAACTTGCGTGTAAACCAGTTGTAGATCTCATTGAGAGTCAACTGTCTGTCTGGGGACTCCAGAATGGCCTGAGGAAGAGGAGAGAAGATACAACAGGATTTAGAGGAGGAGAACACAGATGGAGAGAAGAGAAGGTGCAACTGGATCATTGGAGAGACTTACATGACGTATAAGAGAGGCGTAGGTGAAGGGAGGCCTGACATCTGCGTTCTTGTAGAACTCACAGTTCTGAGCCAGCTCTGAAAGAAGAGGCATGACAGTTTCAAATGAACTGATGTGTGTTGTGTAACACATTGTAAAATGTGTAAAACTTTAAACAAAATGTTTGATATTATTCTCTATTTTAGTATTAAGCACATTATAATGGTAAAGCATGAGCATAGCTTTGTAAGGATGCTACATTTTCTTTTACTAATATTCTTCTTTAGAAGCCAATGATATATTCCTTAATTTTGACTTCATTCTAAGCCACATATGCTAAAAATATATTGATACCTGAAATTACCTGAAACTAAAATTTTCTACTGAAAGAACGTCAAGAGACGGCGACTCTTTAAACCATGAATAAAAGTGATTTCTGAGGCTATATTTTGTTGCTGTTGCAGGGAAAGCACATGACAACTAAAGCAGTCATCAACATTGGATAAAAAAAACAAATACAATGTGAATCAATTATAAATCAATAATTATATAATGCATTATAATAATAAAATAAAAAGGCAGGCACTGAGTTTCTGTTTCAGTCTACCTGAGGCGATGGGGGTGCAGTACTTGTCGGAGTTGCGCCGACGTATGGGCCCAACACCGTGCGTGTGGGAGTGGGAGTGTGTGTGCAGGCTGGAGGAGCTGATGACTGAGGGACCCTGGCGCATTGGGGTGATGGGGGTGGCAGCTGAGGTGGGGGGGTGAGGAAGACCCTCTGGGTACATATCGCTGTCCCGCTTTAACAGAGAGCCACTGGAAGCCAGGTTCAGCTAAAGAGACACACAGCACAGATACATTGTGGTGAATTCTTCATGGCTTTTCTATCTATTAAATCAATTGGAAATGATTCAATTCAATTAAATGGCTTTATTTTAAAATACAGGTGAAAAATGATTACATCTCAGTAAAATATCCCTTACTGCACCTCAGTTTAATATTGTCTAATGATGTCTACAGTGTGAACCATTTACATACAGGTGAGAAACTTTACTTTGGAAATAAAACATATAAAGGTAAACATATTTTATAAAGGTAAATATACTTTAGCTGGGCTTATCCATTATTAACATAAAAACAATAGTTTCTCTACTGAGAGTGGAGAATTGATTTCGTGCTGGGATTTTCTGTATGAATAATACTTCTTTCATGTCAACATCTTTTGACTGAGTGCTGCTGCTGTTTACAGAGAAGCATCACCTCCACAGGACAGGGTGAGGGTCTGGTGATGTCAATGTATTAGATACTTGTGTGTCATACACATAAAGTAACAAGTCTCTTCCAGGAAATTGTCTCTTAACAGTTTTGTCTACTAGTTGTGTCAGAATAAACATTTTACCTATAGCAATAGGGCGCTACATATCCAGGGATGGCTACTATTGTAAAGTCACATTACATAAACAAATTAAAGGAAAAAAAAAACACTCCCTATGAATTTGTGTCCCGACAATTTACCAAATGCATTCTTGCACAGAACCCCACTCACACACACAGCATGCTCATATACTGCATTTATACACACAGCGCTGGCTGCAATTAACCCTGCGTTTACAAATACAAAACCACAAGACAGCATGTTTGTAAGAAGGGAACACACACATGCACTCTGCGGTGGCCAAGTCTTCACGGACCAATACGGCCCAATTAGGCAGAGCCTTGCACAAATACAGAAACACACACACGCACGCACACACAACACACAGAGCCAGTACACCCAGTCTCTCTGGGACAGCCGTTGCAGGGCTGCTAGTTTAGGACTAATTAAAACCAGTGTGTGTATGTGTGTTGTCTAAATGTATGTAAAATGTGTAAATCGCCTTCTCTCTACTCTGCCCCCTCTTTGCCATTTAAGTAGACTGGAGAAGGCGGGGCTGTTTAACAGGTACTTCATTAACGCTGCAACCCTGCCACATCACCACGGCAACAGTCGAACCCTGTTAATTGAGGCCAAGCTTTGTTTCCATTCCTGACGCTCCTCCCCCGCCCCTCCTCCTCCAATCCCTGACCCCGAGGCTCGTCTCCGGTGGTGACAGAACACGCCTCTTCCTGATTTCCCATTAGATGTTAATAGCAGCTGATCCCCCAGCGATCAACGCATCATCCAGACAGACAAGAACACACAAACACACCGCCACTCGGCTGCACCCATTTATATCCCCTCAAATTAAGACACTCTGCCTCTAATTGACAATTAATTTCAACATCTTCATATTTTAATAAGACTCCTCGTCAATCTGAATAATGAAATATTCATTAGATACCTAATAACAACCTCACCAACCAGTGTGGACGCACAGACACAGACACATACACACATCACATCAAAATGTTAACCCCTTTAGTGGGAACACACTGAAAATACTGTGAGACCACTTTGTCTCTCTCTCTCTCTCTCTCTCTCTCTCTCTCTCTCTCTCTCTCTCTCCGAAAAGCTGAAAAATGAATACTGAATGAATACAATACTGTTCAACACGGACACGCTGCGAATATCTGATTTTATGACTTTCTCTTTGGAATAAGAACATTATGAAGTTTTCTGGGAAATGAAATGCACGGTATCATGAGAAGTTCAAGACAGTGAAAGAGAGACAGAAGCAAGCAAGAAAGACAGAAAGAAGTGTTGAAAAGAACAACACAGACAGAAAGTAGTCCCTATGACTTCTAAATAACACATCAACCCTCACTGGTCAATAGGGGGCGTAGATACCAAGCTAGACAGTAAGAGAGGAACTTGAAATCCCAAGAAGGTTTAGGGATAGTGAAACTGTGCATTTAAGAGGTTTGGGGTGAGAGGATGGAAGAAAAGGTCATGTAATCTGGGTTTCGGGGTGCCAGTGTGTACTCACAGGTTGGTTAAAAGGCTTTGGCTCTGAGGGGCGCATGTGCAGGTGGGTCATCATGGCCTGGAGTCGCTCGCTCTCTTTCGCTAGCTGTGAAACACACAAGGGTTGTTATCACCATGAAAAACACTTTACCTCATTTCACAGCGCTTAGATTGATATAATGCGGTATTGACACTGAATTACAATTACAATTACACCTCAGGCAGAGGGATGAATATGAAAGTCAGCCACCTCAGCACCCGGAGCTCTCTCACACACTTACACTAGCCTGCAGACACACTCGTCCCCGTTTGACATTGTTAACTGCCTTTTAATGGGAGCTGCTACAGCCTGTGGAAACGCTGCATCCTGCGTGTGTTTGTGCACGAGTACAGGCGTACAGACGTGTAGCCTTCAGAAACAACAGATCAACTCTAAGATAGATAGCGCCATTAACATACTCACACACTGCAGAGATGTGCAAATATGAGACATTTACACAGTGACTGTGCTGTTGTGTGTGTATGTGCTGTTGGAGGGTAGAGTGGCGGGCTGCCTGTGCACTGCTGAGGGATGAAGTGACATGTCAGAGAGACAGCCGTCCTGATGTGATGTGACACCAGCTGCCTCTCTGTCACTTTGTGTTCCCTGGCGGTGGCTTCAGGGGCTCAGCTAAACGCTGTTTACCACCACCACCAAACACAATGCCAACCCTAATGCTGGACAGCACGCACACACACAAACGCAGTGATGTGAACGGCTTATTCTGAAGTGTTTCGGAAACTATGTCAAGACGTGAGTGAAGAGGCAGCCGTTGTACTTTCACTTTTCTTACGTAGAGCATTTCACTTCTTGTCCAGTGTTGGTATTTTGCTTTTGCTGGAGCATTCAGATGTTTCAAGAGCATTGCGTGTATGAACCACTTTGAGAACAAGAGAGGCCATGCAGCCCGGTCCTCCACTTTCTAGCTCATGTCTCTCTCTCTCTCTCTCTCTCTCTCTCTCTCTCTCTCTCTTCTCTCTCTCTCCCTCCTCCCCTCTCAGCCTCACTCTCTCTTTTGCTGGTGACCAGAGCAGCTTTATAATTGGAACAGCGATGGCAGCTTCCCTGCCGACTGATCCTTTTAAATTACAAGCTCCACTGCTCTCCATAAACTCTGCCCTGACTCAGACACGTTACTGCCATTGAATGGCTGAAACAGTCTTCATAACTTTGTGAGCGGATGAAAATGAAGTGCGTGCATGAGACTCACCTGAATCTCCAGTTGCTGAACCACCTGCATCTGGACTCGGCACTGGGCAGTGCTGCGGTCATCTAGGGCGTGCTCATTGTTCAAGTGCCTAGAAGTGAAGAGGAAATGCAAGAGTGCAAATTGATATCTACAAATAAAAAAAGATCAAAACACTGATAGTTCCAACTCAACATAATCAATTCACAGGTGCTGAATAATGAAGTAACAAAACCCAGCTCTTTGACTTTTATTGAAACTGAGTTGTGAGCTGTTTCAGCGCTCGAAAATTAAATCATAATCTTGAAGGTTTATTTTGTCTAGTGAAGAACGCAGCAGCTGTGTTTTGTGTGTGTACACTTCATTGGTGCTCAGTGAGCCATGATCCAAGACAACCACCTGGATATGAGCTCATGTGTTATCGCACAAAGCCTTATCTTAAGACTTTCTGTGAGCTAAACTTCACTCCACTTATTAACACTGGTGCGTGTGTGTGTGTGTGTGCGTGCATGGATGTGTGAATGGTGGCGCTGTTTGTTTCCTCCAATGTGGGAGGACCCGAGACCTTCTGATCTTTCCCAGACCAATCCCCCCTGTCTCCCTTCCTCCATCCCTTTCTCTCTGCTCTGTCATCGCCAAGGTTATTCACAGGTTGCTGCTGCCTGTGCGATGTGTGTGTGTGTGTGTGAGAGAGAGAGTGAGTGTGTGTTGAGTATGTGTGCTCGGTATTTGCTGGTGTATTAGAGTGAGTTATATCCTGTGGCTTTAAGTTAAAATTCACTTTTCTGACTTGTTTATTGTGAAAAGTAGATTAGTAGCGATGTGTGTCGGTGTGGTGTATGGTTATTTGAATGTGTGTGTCTTTAACAAAGCACAAAGTTAGGCAATAACAGGCGAAGACTGGAAATGAAACAAAAACAATGATGTCATGGCATGGCTAATCCTGTCAGATAGACGGCTCAACACAAGTGCACGATAATAATAACAAAAACATGATCTCACCCCTCTCTCTCTCTCTCTCTTTCTTTCTTTCTTTCTTTCACTCTCTGTTAAGCTCTCTCGCCCTCGCCCGCACTTCTGTCCACTCTCCCCTTCCCACTCGTCTTCTCTCGCAACTCCCCAAATGCCTCTGATTCACACTCATTCCAACCAAATCTGCCCCCTAAAACCCTCCCCTCTCTCTATAGCCGGGCCATAAACAGTAGCAGTTTTTTTTTTTTCTCGATGTGTCCCGACAATGAGGCTCTGTTTACTCCTCTGAGTGCTGGCAGACAAGGCTTTAACCCACATTACACCCAGCTCCACCGACCACAGCCAGAGTATTATACCAGAGGACGGGGAGGGAGGGGAGGTGGGAAGAGAGAAGAGGAGAGAAGAAAGGCCTGAAATAGTGGAGTGTCTCCGTCCTCTGTTCTTCTGCTCTACCCGTTTCCCTCCTGGGGCGATGACTAAGGCTGGCTAGAAGGGAGCGCAGCGCACTGTCGGACTGACGGCGTTATCTGTCACTGCCTCTATTTTTTTCCATCTGCCTCTCTCTCTTACTCACACACACACACACACACACACACTCTCTTTTACTCTATCTCTCTTTCTCCTTCCATCTGCCCCGGGGCTACGTGAAATGAGACACCAAACAACAGCTTTCCTCTCCAAACTTTCCCAGCCTGCCTGCACGCTTTGATCTCACTGTCCGATGGCATCACAATCACCACGCACACTTCTATGACTATGTGTGTGTGTGTGTGCATGAGTACATATTTCATCACCGCGGCTTATTAATATCTCCATTGCTTAAACAACTAAGAGTTGCACACCGATAATGAGAGTGTGAGTTTGTTTAGGGCTTCATTAAAAGGCTTGTGAAGCCTTCATTAGCAGCCATAGTGCCACAGGGAAGTCCGTTGTACTTTGTGCGACAGAGGAGGAGATGGCAGAATGTCAAGGCCAGCGACTGCACTGACATCCCGCAGTGACTCCAAACTAGCAAGTAGCATGATGGAGGCAGAGTGGGAATGAGTGTCTTTACTTTTGTTGTGGAAACAAAAAGAGGTGCAAGCGGATGAGCTAATTAAAAGTAATTTTCTATTTAAAAAACAGAAACAATGCTTCTGATCCTTCTGAGGAAAAGCATATAAAACACAAACAAACACACAGACAAAAAACACCAACAAAATTAAAGAAAAAAGAAATACTAACACAGGAACAAAGAAGAAGAGGATAGTGTTTTAGGAGCCCAAAGAATTCCTCGAAAAAATGAGAATTTACACACACGTTGAGTTTAATTGTGTACCTGTGTGTGTGTGTGTGTGTGTATGCATGAATGTGCCTCCGAGCAAATGTGATGTAACAGATTGCAACTGATGAATTAGTGAGCCAATGCGAAACGCCACTGATGTTCATGACTGACACTCCACATTTAGCACAAACCATAGCTTCACTTTGCTCTGCTTCATCTTTTCTTTATGCTTTATCTATTTTCTACAATGCTACTAGGGACCAGCGGTTGTTGAGCTTTTTTAAAAACAGGTGTGATTCTTACCAATTAGTGATGAAATTTAAGGGAAGTTTCTAATTTGGTCTTAAACCAGGTTTGTGATCAAAGAGAGAAAGTAAGAAAATGTTGCTAATCTTTTTGAAACTAAAGAAGTTCTGGAATCATTGTCCTTCTCCAATGCAACTATAGACACATCCAAGAACCCTTAAAGACTGAGTGAAATGAAAAAATGTTTCCCAGTTTTAATCCTGTGTTAATTGTTCATTAATCTCTTAATATAGGCCAAATATATGTAATGTATTTCAAATGTTTCATGACTCATCCTTCACTCAGGGGCATTTACAGAAACTCATCCAATCAAATGACTCTTTGGGTTTCTAGCTGCCCACACCTATCATATAAAACCCCACTTCACCTTCTGTGGGTCGTATGTAGCAAACAGAGCAATATGGAGAGAGAAGGGAAGAGATGTGTGTTTGGATATCAAACTTTGTTTTGATTTCCAAAACAATTTAGCTGAGGTCTTATTCATTCACGATTAACTTTGCAGATTTTCAACGGGCTCTATGTAACTGCCCTTTTGGGTGGCGGACTTACTTGATGAACTGTCCCATGTCCTCACACAGTGCTTCACAGCCAGGCCACTTGCACTCTCCATGGCCGTAGAGAGGATGGGAGCCGGCATGCTCCTCATGACTGTGTGGCGGGAAAGGCACAAAAAAAAGAGTGAGGTAGTAAAACAGATATTACATTTTTCATATGTTGTTATGTACATGAAATGTACAGCACGTGAAAGAATTCACTTTCTCATAATGAGAAGCAAAGCCTTAATATGCCACACTCTCACACGCAAATGCAAAAGTAACTAGCAGCAGAAGCATCAAGAGAGCCATCTGAGTCTGGTTAACAGTCGTTCGTTTGTACAGTTCTCGAAGCCAAGTGCAGAGAGAGGAGGATAGAGCAGAGTGGGGTCAGTTACAGAAGCCAGGCAAATACGGGAATTGATCCAGCAACCTCAGAGGCAAATTCTTAAGTCCATGACCTGTCTGTTTCTGTCCTTGGCGTATGTGTTGTGCGCGTGTTAGTGTGTGTTCTTATGTTTCAGGAGTTGACACAGAGTCGGCACAGGACCAACCAGCCATGACTGATTGGCGGCGGCTGCCGTCATGTGCTGGTTGTTCTTTTGTGGTGAGCTTACGTGTGTGTGCACGTGTGTGTTTGTAAGTGTGCATCTGCGCATATTCATGAGCGTTTGTGTGTTTGTATGTGTGTGTGGCAATGAAAGACTAGGCCAGGATTGGTTTGGGCCCAGGGTAAAATAACTGTGACCGTGCATGCATGCTTGTGTGTGTGTGGCAGGTCCAGTAGCAGATGTGGTTCAGACCTGGAACTTCGCCGGCGACTGCTGTCTCCCCATATATTTACATGACTGTCTGTGTGTGCGTGTGTGTGTGCACGTGCGTGTGGGGACTGGGATGGGGATTCTCCCAAATCAACATCAGAAGGTTGTCTAACAAAAACCATTTGTCTCGCAGATGGAAACATGTCTCTCTCCCTCTCCCTTTGCCTTTACGGCTCTTCCTGATCATATGTGCTGGCTGAGGTTGGAGCTCGTGTGCGTACGTGTGTGCGTACGTGTGTGTGTGTGTGTGTGTGTGTGTGTGTGCTGGCTGTGGTTGAGTCAACTCAGAAGCAGCTCGGACAACAGACATGACAAACTGCTGGAAACCACATTCTCCTCCACATCAGCCATGCATTAGCTTAGCAGGCTAACACACTAATGCGAGGTCCCCTCTTTCTGTCTACTAAAGCCACTCCGCTAATAGAAGTTCTTATAATTGATACTTACACCCACACTGACCCCCTCCAAAATGAGGTCAGAGGTCAATGCTCCTGAAGCAAACACTGAATCAGTGCCACAGTGACACTGCAGACCACCCTCCAGTAGTGTGTCTTTCTGTCTTTGTCTTGTCCACTCATGTGTGTGTGTGTGGATGTGCTACTCACTGGCTGCTGGGGGGTTGGCCGCCTTTGGGGTAATAGGGGACATGGTCATCTCCGCTGTCTGCCTTGGTGAAGCTGGATATCCACTCAAACAGTCTGGCTCTTAAAGACAAAGACAAGCCCATGAGCAGTGAACAAAAGCCATGGAACAACACAGCCCTCATACGTGTGGTACAAGTAGTCCTTAAACATGCACCCCCAAAATGTCAACATGTTAACAATGAATTTATGTCCACAGCAATTTCAGATCTAAAAATATATATGACTAACAAATAATTCCCCAGATGGCCTGCCTCCACCATCCTCTCCTCTATACTACACTTGCATGTGGTTGACAGCATACTGGCAGAACAGACTGAACCCAACACACCTCCTATCAAATGAGCTGAGAGACATTTGCACCCTGGTGATGTGTGACATGCTGCGTGTGCATGTTTTGTGTTTACGTGCTTAGGTATCAAGGAACAGCTAAAAGCTAAAAGTTAAATGCCAGAAAATGACATGGCAAGAGTGTGTGAATTAGAAAGATTGCAGGTCACAGAGAGGACAGACGTTTGTTGATGTTTTAAGCCTTTCGACATACTGCACATCACTGTACCTGTCTCTCTTTGGGGTGTGGCTCTGTCCGTTGATCAAGCTGTGCAGTGGGATGTGAGCGCTGGCAGCTTTGGGGAAGGCTGAGGTAGAATTGGAGCTGTTGGTGCTCAAGTCCAGGCCCTCGGCCTGTTTCAGGGCATCCTCACTGCTCTGCACCCCCGACACTTCCTTCCACAGCTGCTGGAGGTCTGACGGACACATCGCTGCAGAGAAGGAACGCACAGTTAACTTGGCAACCTTACTTAGTTGCTCAATTTCACATGTTCCGTGCAAATATGATAATAGGATATTTAGGTTAAGTCAAGCTAATTTAAACATGAAGAAATATCAGACAATAAGACAATAATACCCACCTACAGACACACTGTATATGAATGTGGGTCAAAGAGCTGCGACTAACAATCATAAACACACATGCAACTAGTCCTCTGGGAGTAGTTAAAGAGATAAATAGGACTAAAACCGACAAGAGGGTAATTTCTGCGAGTTTTTGTTTTATTTCCAGATATCCACTATTCCTCAGCTATTTCTTAATCTCTGTTAGCAATTGCTACTGTCTACCAGCACCACTGCTCCTGTCACTACCACTGTTTGTCTCAACAGGGTGGGTGCACACTTTGAGTTCTTTCTAGTCGCTGCTTTGTTATTTCTGCTCCAATTTCACAGTGAGAGAGACGCCTAAAATGCCACAGCCTACTCCAATGGATCTTACCGTGCACGTCTGCACGCACGCACACATGCAGCCACACACATCTGCACATACACACACACACATGCACAGACCTCGCAGCAATCCAAATATTATGTCTGCTTTGTCTGCATTCTTCTGTGGACCCGCCAAAACAAAAGTTCTCACTCTGGAGGAATGAGGCAGTGTGTGCATAGATTTCTTTACGTGTGTGTGTGTGTGTGTGTGTATTATCCAAGAAACCTGACCGACCTGTGGACACGCCCAGGGAGTGAAAGTGTAAAGTAGTAATTACTAAATTACTAAAGTAGTAATCAAAAATACAAGGAGAAATTCTGAGGATATGTTCCGCATTCTGGTGAAAGTCAGCTGTTTACTGCTGAGTACAAAGCAAGTAAAGCTGAAATTGTAGCCAAGAGCAGAACAAATTTGTAAACAACAAAATCCTGACTTTGTGTGCATTCGAGTGAATGCATGTACTCACAACTTCCCCCAGCTAGTGTTAAAACGTGGATGCGAGTGCTTTTGCTAACTGTTTAACGTACACAGCCACATCTGGCTGCTGGGATCATATTTCTTTCGCATTGATGTCTGTAGACATGACACATGCTAGGAAGCAGCCTTAAGTTACTAAGAAGGTGGGGTCTAACAGGATGAAGTCAAATCTAATGGATTTTTTTTTCTTCATATGAGAGTGAAGAAAGTTCCCGAAACACACAAACACATGCTCAATGATTGGTCTGTGCTTAGAAAAAAGCAGTTTGATTCTCAAACAAAGTGGTTTAGTGCTCTCTGTTTTTTTTGCCATGAACTTAATAGGTTGGCTGTCATGAGATTCTACAAAGTGCCTCCATCTTACTGCAGTAAGAGAAATAAACAAAAAACCACAGCAGGATCCCCCCCTCAGGGCACCCCCCACCAACTACCCACCGGACACAACGACCCTTTGAGGCGGGGCAATAATGTGTGCAGTTGTGTGTGTAGGTGCGAGTGTTTATGCATGTGTGTTTGTGTGTTTGTGTGGCATGGCTGGTCAGAGGAATGCTCTGGCTCACGCCTGGCTGAGCCGTCACAATGGACCGGCTCTTTCACACTGCAGGGAAATTCCACTCTGATACGGAGGGAGAGAGAGAGAGAGAGAGAGAGAGAGAGAGAGAGAGAGAGA